CTGGCGACACTTGTTTTGAATCCTTTTTAAAACATTAAGGGATTTTGGGCACACTTGTTTCAAAGTTCAAACACAAGATTGGCTAGTTCATTACATATATATATGTTTGGCGACAACATACATTTATTTAGTAGCATGTTATTTAGATTAACAAAAAAAAAAATCCATACTCATGTACCTAAGTATATAAATCTATAATTATTCATGGTCATATAGTACAATTACCCTCTTTTGTATCATTTTAGATTGATAGAATTTTAATTGTTAATAAAATATCTAAGATCCAAAAGATTATGTAGGTTTCACAATAGATAATTCACTTGAAGCTAGATATAGTTTTAATTTTATTATTAAATATCTAAGATCCAAAAGATTAAACAAGTATCATAAAAAAAGAAATTAATTATTTTTGGGTGAAAACATGTAGGTGGACAAAATAATTGAAGGCATAAAAATAAGAAAAGAAGAAATGAGGTGATGGAGGATGAAGGACATAAGAAGCTATGTTTACATAAAAGCAAGTTGGGACACTTGAGGTAACGAGATTTGATTTTAGTGGCAACTTCATAACCAATTGCCTTTCTTCTTCTTTCACCTTATGGGCCTTTTTTTGTTCCTTTGCACCACACCATCAAGTTTGTTACATTTTTATTAGTCTAATAATGCATATATTTTATCCTTTCATTCAGATTTGAATCCTAAAGTTTTGTAATATTAAAATTAATCCCACCATGGCGATTTTACATGAATTAAAGTTTTAAAAAGCGGATTTAAACGGCCGGGTTTCTAGGATCAATTTTTTCTTACCACCTGATTAATTCTCTATGATGAGTATAGTCGCCGAGTAGCTCACTATGATCAAATTGGCAATAATTTCTTTGATTTAGCACTGGGTATCGTGGTTTAGCCAAAGTGTCGTGGTTGACCATATCATTCGGCCAGAAGGGTTAGCCAAGTAGCTGGCGTCCAAAGTTTGCATAAAATAAAATCGAATTTCGACCTATATAACAAGTTTACGCTCATAGTTCCACACCTAATACCATTGTGCGTCCGTGTGCCACCGCGGGTTCTTGAGTCGGCCAATTTAGTGGAACAAAAGAGAGTAAACGGAGAAGAAGACAAAGAGAACGGGTCGTTTACGGCGTCGGCTGTCACAAACGACGACATTGACGGAGACGTTATTATTTATCGCCGTCGTCAAAGTTTCACACAACTCCTCCTACTGTTTACTTACACGCGACTAAGCGCGTGATATCACGCGCCCTAGAAGGACCACTAAACATTTGTTTATAATATAAACACCTTTTATTTTGGTCTTGCACAAGAATTTCCCGGCAACGAAACCAACTTCGTTCCTGTCCTTTAATTGCTTAACCAGATTCATATATACATACACACTTACATATTTACATTCGAAAACACTTTATATAATAGTATAGAGAGAGTTTATATTTAGATTAAAATTTAAGAGTGTCATTCTCATGAAAACAAAGTCACTCTCATGAGAATG